GGAAGAACTCGAGGAGGTTGTGGAGCCACATCTCAAAAGCGTCGAGATCGTCCTTGCCCAAATACGGCTTCGGGAGGGTCATCTTAGTGACCTTCAGGTATGCCGGCGGACTGGAGGTCGGTTCCTCCCCGACCATTTGGTCGATCATGCCCATTAGCCTTTGGACCTCACGAGCGTCCCGGGGCCCATAGCTAGGGCCCGTGTATGCGAGCTCATTTGATCCATCGAGCTCGTGCTCGGGGACAGTACTAAGTCCGTGATGCGCGGAAGCTCCTGGAGCTAAGGACCTCCTGGGTCGGAGCACAAACTGGTGCGGAGGTGCCGTCGAAGTGACCGGGATTCGGTCACCCCGAGGAGCTTGCGACGCGGACTCGTAATGGTCCCAGCCTGGCGGTGCCGTGATATCCGAGGGCTCAAAGGCCCCGAAAGCCACGCTTCGTCGTGGGGGTGCAGCTCGAATGGGTGCCGGAGCCGCTAACGGCGAGGAGGGCAGTAGTCGAGACGGACCTGCTATTGGTCCAGTGTCCCCCAATCCCGCTCTCCGGAGCCTTTCGAGGCGATCAGCCTCCATTTGCTGGCGAAGCACCTCACTTGGTGACGGACTAGGAGGTGCAGCCAGTTGCGCCTCCACTTGCGTGGCATCAATAACGTCCTCGACGTTATTCTCGGGACCTATGGTGGGGTCCGTGCCCTGCTGGGCCAACTCTCGCATTTCTCGCTCGAACGCGGCGAGCTGGTCATTGACCTCGGTCTCAGCGAGCGTTACCTGTTCTCTTAACGCTTTGTAGCGTTCCGCGGAATCGCGTAAGAATCCCATGATTCTTAGAGCTGGTGCTGGCTGGATGGTTTCCAGCCGTTGCGATTGGCTACGCATGCCAGCCCATTCACTGCCGATCTGATTCAGGTCGGGAGTAGTAAGGTCGCTAGTCGACCGTGGACGCGGTGCGTCCGTAGTAGGGGCATGCGCAGGCTTGCCGTGTGGAGGGAGCACTCCTGGAGCAGAGTGCGTGGATCCGGCGCGCGATAGTACGCGCGGGCCTTCCGCATTCCGGGGCTGAGTGTGTGGGGAGGAGGGGGGAGCTGCTTGCGGAGCTCCCGTCGGATTGGGCACGGTATTTCGTGCGGGGCCACCATCGGGAGATGGTGGTTGTCCCGCAGAACCAGCCACGGGGCCGGGCGGTGCGTTGGCAGTGCTCGGACCCACCGTTTGCGGAGAACCGGGTTGACTGACAGGTCGCCCATGGTGACCATTGTTCCCGGAAGGCTGGGTGGGATCCATTTGGGGACGCTGTCGTAAGGCGTCCGATGTTCTGATGACGTGGTGACGTCGAGCAACTTGATGCTGTGAACGAAAGTTCGTTCGTCGTGGCTAGAGTAAAAAAGTGTAAGTGTACGCGAGTCCCACGACTCCCCGAATCCCGCAAGTACTCTGGACCGGGCTTGATTGCTCGGCGTACTCGCTGGATGGTGGGGGGTGGTAGAACTCTGCCCCCACCAGGCGCCCGAGGCCCGAACCTTCGGGCGCCGTACGCTTACGTACAATACAGGACTTGTGGTATCTAATCTACGGGCGCCTAGATGCGCTAGTTCTCCGTGATTCCCGGAGAACACCTTCTCCTACTGAAGTGGACGTTCCCGTCCAGGCACTAGGGAGTGCCGGCAGTAAGTACGAACCGTCGGGTTCTTACAGCTGGGCAGAAGATAAGATAACATGTATTAGATAGATGCGTACAGCGTGCGGGTATTCGGAACCCGCGTGCCTGGTGGGGGCAGCCTTTCTAACTGCCCCACCATCCTACGAGGACGCTGAGCTTCAATAGAGCCTGGACCAGAGTACTTGCGGGAAAGGGGCAATAGATTGCGCCCCCCATACGTGAGTTTTACATGAGCGCACCTTTGCAGTGTCTTGGAGGTCGACTCGATGAGGGAGGTCGCAGTTTCAGCTTGCAATCATAACCCTCATTGTGGCACAGTGACATCTCTTACTCATGTACAACATAGTCAAAATTGTTGCGCTCAGGAAATGAATCAGATTACATGCCGTATGATGTCCGCGCACATACATGAGAGCACTGGTCCCCCTACCAGTGATATTCACTGTGGTCTCTTGAAGAACCTAAACCTACTTGGATATTCCCTAGTCCAACCGCCAAATACATAGTGGCAATATTACCTCAGAAACACCGGTTGCTCGAAATCCCCAGTACTACTAGTGATTGCATCTATTCCTTGGTTCAGGGGGTGATTTTCATGGGCACCTGGGTGTGCAGTGTATTATAAGTCACTTCTCGGGTCTCGTCCTCTTTGTCTTACAATTCCGACGTCCTAGTGGCCATTAGGGGAGACTTGAGTGCATCACCGCACACACCTCTAAAACATATACATGACAAATCACAACACTATGGCAGTGTATACACAAATTTCAAGCACGTGATGTAGGTAGTGTGGATGCTTGTAGGAATAACCAGTACCGAAACCCTGCTATCTGACTCTCTTCCCCATACAATGTGGTATGACCATCAAGAACTGCAACAATACATCCAACAACCCATACTCCACAGTCATAAGAGTTTGTTTGGAGCTTTGAAAGCTGATTTATGGTTATCAAAGTTGTAGCAGGATTTAGACTGCCCACTTACTGTTGCAGGATATCCCTCCCATCCAGTGTCAGCAATTGGGGCATTTTGGTTATTGGCACGGGCCAACTTGCCTAGCTTCACCACAAGGGTATGAAGCTTCTACAGTTGGAAGTTAGAAATAAACCTTAATAGAACTATGTATCAATTTCTTACCTTGGCCCACAGCTCACAATATGATGTACCACCAAAGCTATCAAACACTGATATAACTCTTGCTGGAATCCTGACGATACCTAAAAGCCAGTGGTTGTTGTGGTGAATAGGAAATAACCATATGGTCTTCTCCCAGTAACGGGAATTTTGAACCAAGCGCCACAACGCATCATCATTAGCCCCAGGACAGAATGCCAAGCTTGGTAAAAATGTGGAAAAGATAGCGACAGATTGGGCAGGGATAGGGAAAAGATGTTGAAGCAGCATGGAACAGCCATCGATGCAACTGCTGGATAGCCATTCTCGCGGTGTGCTCAATATGAGTAGATCCGCGCTATCGAAGGCAAGCTGACCTGCTATGTAGCGGCCTGCAAGTGCTTTCTGCTTGCTGAGGACTGCAGCAGTGAGCGACTCCAGAACAGAACCATCGTATATGAGGGTTCCTAAGGAGACGCTAGGCTACGCAATAATTTATTAAAACCGTCTAGGACGACCAGATAAGACTCACTTCAGCCTGCCTTCGATAGCGGAGGTTTTGGGGCGAGAGGACCTCCTTAGACGAATCTTCGACCTTGTCTAAAAGACTCTGTCTGCTAGGAAGTCGTCTTTCGGCGCGGTATGCGCACATCGTTGTATAGACTTCTCGCAATATAAGTACTTCCTAAGGCTCGATGAGACCGGGTACTGAAGAGGACGGCAAGTGAACATACCTCTTCGCCGGAGAACACAGCTTTATTCGCCCTGCATGATCGGAGAAGAATCCTGGCTAGCTCAGAGTCGCGACCACGCCACTGGTGCGGGGCTGCTGAAATGTCTTCCATCGCGATCAAGATGTCCAATGCAGCCGTTGCGATGGCAAGGAGGGGAGTCGGAGTGCCAGGTCTCATGAAGAAGCCGAGCTCTAGTACCACAGGTGCGACTGAGAGACAGGAGACATCGTGTGACAATTTGATGGTGTGGCGATCTAGTCGAGTACATCGATCAGTTCCGAATATCTTCTCCGTGGAAGACGATAGCAGGCACACCATTGACCGCGAGGCATAGGATGGATACACCAGACATACGGCAGCATGAGATGTCACGACATCCTGTTCGCGCTCCCGCCGCAGAAATGTTGCTCGGAGCCATTGCAATATGGGAGGGGGGAAGGATATATGCGAGGTTATCCTCGACGCCGACAAGACCGACAGCACTAGATATAGGATCTACGAATGCTCGTGAAGATCGCTATCGGGAGTGAAGCATCGGCTCACATACCTGAGTTGGATCCTGAGTCCGCTTTTCCGTCTCCCAAAGAGCCGTCCTCCGAACGCAGCGCAACCCTCTTGACCGAGCTATGCTTTCTTTTCATATTCGCGTTTACGCATAGGCGGTCGAAAGGTATACTCTTGGCCTGGGAAAGCTGGTCCGCAAGCAACTTCGAGAGTTCCGCTCGACGTCGCTCCTCTTCAGGACGATGAACAAGGTTGGATGACTTTGCGTGCCGCGACATGTTCGGGGTAGTAGGTGAGAGGGGGATTCGTAGGAGATAACATCGATGCGCTCCACTGGAGCCTGTGAAATGGTATGAGTAGTGGACGCGGTAGAGGATAACAAACGATTGGCGTTCAACGTCAACAGTACCTCCGGCGCACTTATTTGCGCGCTTTCTGGGCGCTTGTGGTCAAGGCCGCCCACCGCGAGCCTCCGCTCACCCTCGCATTCGCATTCACTCGTTCTTGGGACAATCTGGCAAAGCATTATTAGTGTACCATGAATGCAAATTCCAGGGCCCCAACACACCTCCCAAGGCTATTTTTTGGAAATCGTATCGTTTTCCTCGCACGCGGAGGAGAGATGTTCACTAGATACCCAGCATTTTGACTACAATCTACTGGGTATCGTACAAGGGTATGAGTAGATGCAGGCGACGATGAGTAAAGACAGTGAGTGGCGGTAATGAAAGGTGGCATTGGGTAATGACAGGCCACAGTGGGAATATCGGTGAAGCGAAGCGAGAATGAGTAGGACGGGCGGGCGAGGTCGCGGGATGTCCGAGGCCGCGGTGCTGACGTTGACTCGTGTAGTTCAGCCAAGGTCGCGCCAGTAGGCTGGTCAACATTCGTACGACGTGCGGCGGTGCACTCGTATATATACCCGTGTGCGCGGACACGACGCATGGCGTCTGCTCCGCTCCCTCTCTCGTTGTCCTATGTGCTCGACGCACGCGCGCACTCATCCTCCGACGTCCTACACCCTGGCCGCCGCCACCTCCCCGCGATTATGCCGCTCACGTTCCGGGAATGCAGTCGTCGGGGCTGCAGGCACGTCGTATTGTTCCTACCAAAGCTGTTCACGTCACTTGTGCTGCAGGACGGCCGCAATCAACGCGAACACATGCACGCGACACACGGTACGTACTTATTCACTGATTCCGAGCTAGTTCGATTTGTTGAATCTCTCGTCATTTCCTTTCCATTCGCAGGGACGCGGGGTGGACCGAGCGAAGCTCGTGCACATGGCACAGACTGCAGAAACCTATCAGGATAGGTGAGTTCAGTGGATTTGGGCCAGGACTGTAGCTGATGCACCTTCTAGATAGCCAAACACTTGCACAGAATAGTATCGGCGCGAGGGGGTTGGCGGCCTCACACGCAGCGTGCGCGGCGGAGACCGTGACGGAGGTGCCCATTATCGTATGCGCCGAATTCCGTGGCTTCAGGGGAAACACCCATGAATCGGTCAAGTCGACCCGACTTTGTCTCCCCCGATCACGCCGCGACGCGGGGGGCGCATGCGTCCTGGTGCATAGAGCCCGCCGTTTTGTTTCCTAAGGCCTCCCTGGAGCCGCCGCCGCGCGAGGTCGACGTCATCGTGACGGGCCCGCGCGGCAAGACCGTCCTGCAGACGCGCAGAGTCGTGGTACGCCGTTATGCGCAGCAAGGGACGGTAGCGGGCGTGCCCGCGAGAGCACACGCTAAATGGCACGGCGCCCCAACACGGGACGGAGGCGGGACGCGTCAGTTTGCGAAGACGGTCGTGTGTTGCCGCCGCCCATGAGATCGGTCGGGCGAACGCAAATATATTGTGCGCGGATCGCGCAGAGACGCGGTGAGCACACGCCCTCTGGTGTGTACAGGGTACCGATGGGATTACAGAGCGCAGAGACGCTGTGTCGAGGCGAGGTGTCGACCCCAGGTCGCGGCCGCCTGGCGGTAGGCGCCCGCGTCCCGACGCGACGTCGCCGCGCGGCTCGGTCTCCGGGAATGCCTGAGAACGACGGGGACGACGCGGCGGCTGTGCTTGAATGTGCCTGCGACGCGGCATAGCTCCCGGGCGAGGGATGAGCACGGAGCACGCGAGTTTGTGGTTTTCTCCTTTTGGCCAACCCATGAAATCGGTCGAGTTGCCCCGATTTTAACCTCCCCGGATCGCGCCAAGATGCGAGGGGCGTGTGCCACCTGGTGCATGGAGCTCAAACTGCATGTTTGAGAGGCCCAGGGCACGGCATTCGAGTTCGTGAGATCCTCAGGCCCGGGCGTACGCAGAGTCCCCCTGCCACTTAGTCGCCACCCGACGTCATACGCGCTCCGGAACAAAGCGTGACTGTTGTGAGGATCCCCGGGCGTTTTCCTGTCGAGATACGCGTCCATCGGGCGGGGGAGCGTCGCGCGACGCGTGTATTCGTGAGTTTTCGAGCAAGCCGAACCCATGAAATCGGTCTCCGGATCGCCACGCCATCCGGAGCGCGTGTGCGTCCTGGTGCATATGGCCTGCCGTTTCGTTTCCAGAGGTCAGAGAGCTACCGTCCGCGCGCGAAGTCGCTGCCAGCGTGGCGGGCGTCCCAGCCGGCTTCGCAAGGCGTCCGGAGTTGCACCGCCGCGACAGCTTCGTGGACGACGGGGAACACTTTCACGAGGCCGCACGCGGATGCGCAGGCCGATCCGGGCGCCGTGCGGGGAGAAATGTGCATTTTAAGAAAACGAGCGTCGGGAAACACGACGTCGTCAGTGCAGTTTGCGAGCGGGCGCGCTGGGAACGTACACGACGCGAGCTCCGGGTATATGCAGTGCGCAGCATGTAGGGATGCGCCAGGAGATGAGATACGCCTGAACAGGGCTCAAAGATGCGCGAGGTCGAGGTCGTCCCGCCGCGAAACGATCGCCGCCGGCTTTGCGAGATCGTCGACGCCTGTTGGGGAAGTGCGGGCCGTTGCCAGCGTCCCAGATAATGTGTTGGCCGAGTGGCGCGCCGATAGGGGGCGCGACGATCGCGGATTAGGTGCGGGACGCCGTCCTATGTGGTGGCATCGTCCGTGGAATCAGCCGATGATCTCGTGTGCGTTGTTTCGTCAGATCGAGCTGCACGTTGCTGAGTATATGCGTGGGGGTCCATGCGAGCCTCTTGGCGTGAGTTGGAGGCGGTCGCGCACGCCGTCGAAATGCGGGGCGGTGATATGTCTTTGGCGGCGTCCGCAGGAGGTACGTGTCGACGTGCACGCGATTGACGCTGTCGTACTACATCCGTATCGCCACGAGTGGTGGGAGGATGGTCGGGGAAGACTATATCGAAGCGGGTAGGTGGTCACAAGCGTCGCGACGTGAGCTGCTGGCGTTTCTGCCCGCAGGCAGCCTGTAATCGCCAGACCGTCAGGGCCATTCGCGTCCGCACAAGCTGATAATGCGCATACCGTAATATTGAGCCAATAGAAGCCTTGGCGTTGAGTTTCGGGACGCTCGGGCTCACGCAGCGTGGTTGAGACTCGGGCGGAGGTCGGTGGGGTGGTCGTTACCCGGTGAGCGTCGTGGCGGGCGCAGTTCGTGAACGGCATCCTCGTGCATCTGCAGGCATCGTCGTGAAGGCGCTGTGAGCGTTCTGTGAGCGTTTCGGGCAGGGGCGAAGAGATGCGCAGGCGGGGCGAAGGGTTCTGAAGGGCGTATGCTTGAAGACTAATGATCAGGACATTGTGAGCACAATCGCGACGGGGCAGGCTGGGAACGCACCAATAGCAAGTGCCATATGCCACCGACCATATCCACTACACCACTCACGCGCTAGACGGCGTACGAATAGTCGAGTGCGGTGATTAGGCCGCAGGGATACATGGAGTACTGCAAGCTCGGGAATCGGGCGGTGTCGGGCTTGCACGAGCGGGATTGACCATGGACAGAGAACATGCGTATGAAAGATGGAGCGGGTGCGACGATTTCCCCAAGAGATACGGCCGGACGAACGAGGCGGGCGTTCTCGTAGTATGCGCACCCGTTCGCGCTGCAGACAGGCGGGGCGGGAAGCCGGCGAGAATGTATTCAGGTCTCCCTACTCCATTTCTAAGCAGGAGAGACGGAGGACGGGCACGGGCAAAGGAGCAAGGGAGAGTACGGCGGTGAACAGAGGCGGAGGAGGTTCTGGTTACGGAACAGCAGAAATGCAGGTCGAGGGGTCTGGCCATCGGGAGGGCATCTCGGGCTGAGAGATGCGCACGGTCGAAGCGCCACGGTCGCGTGCCCCCAGTGTGCCCCCACGGTACGCACATCGTGCGCCATCACACTGAGCTTTGCGGTTTTCGCCCATTCAGCTGTCAAATATAGATACACTCGGATTTGATACTTTGATACAGGCATCGCGAACACGTATGTAGCACGAAATAAAAGAGATGACGTATGATTCTCAACAGACTGGTCCACTACATAGTGGTTTCTCATCCCAGCCAAAAGTCGTGAGCACGTCGAAGGCCCAAGAGGCGTCGAAGGGATGGTTCTGCTCCGACAGATACTTTACACTCCGAAGGAGGGTCAGGCGAAATCGACGTCCCGGGTCGGAGTTTCAATTCTCTCCTTGTTCCGTAACCCTCACCGGAGCCCCGCCCCCGCCGGATGGACCGACCATGAACGTACGTCCGCGAACCATCCAGCCTCGACATTGTTAGCTAACGTCTCCGACATGCAGAACCTGCTCAAGACTCTCACCGCGAGCCAGGTCAAGTCCTCATTGCCGGAATCTGAGCTCAAGTTACTTTTAAGCGCCGTCAAGGAGACCCGGAGGGTGTTTAACACGAGTCGAGCCCGCACTCATACTCATACCTCCGTAGCGAGCGGCGAGCGATGCCGGAAAGCTTGCGGATGCTTCCTATGACTCACTCGAGGGTCTCCCTCGTGGACCTCCGGATGGTCACAATGGTGCGAGTTCAGCCACCGGGGCGCTCGTACGCGCGCTGACTTCCGCGCAGGATAACCGCGACGCGGAGGCGTGTGCTCGACTACTACGACAGTACGTTATTTTGTCGCATCTAACCGCGGGTACTCGACTAATGATACGACGGTTATCTCCACGCCCATGGACCTGCCGACGATGTTTAAGAAAGTGAAACAGAGGCAGCACAAGTTCATGAAGGAGTTCAAGGATGATCTCGATCTCATATGGTCCAACTGCTTCACATACAACGCCACGGAAGGGAGTGCCGTGTCCGAGGATCCTACGGCCATAAATACGCCCACCTCCCGCGGCACGACCTCTCGACCCAACAGTTGGAATTCACGACGCGGCTCGGCAGAGGTTCGCCTTGCGCCTGACCACGCCCCCTTCCTGTCAACTTCTCCGACCTCCCGTGGCACCCGTCGGCGTTCTCGAGCGACGGCCACCAGCTTTCGCACTTGCAAAGCGCCGTGAGCTCTTTCTCCTCTGGGCACCGCCCTGCAGCTCCTGCAGATCTCCCTGCATATGTCTCAGACACTACAGAAGGCCGAGCATGCGTGCTCACCTCGAAACGGCTGGTGTACCAAATGGCACATACTGTGGAAGCCAAGCACTGCGGCTGCGTCCCCCTCCTCCATCATCCTCGGCCCCCCGCCATCAACCTTTCCGGCCGCCACCTGCCTCGCTCGCCGCCACGTCTCGGAGACGTCGCACGCCTTCCCATGTGTCTGCCTCCACTTCAGCAATGACCCCCGCCCCGCACTCCTGCCGTGTCCTCGCGCGCCGCCTCAGTGCGGCCGCGCGCAGGTCGAAGCGAACGGTGCCCGTGTCGTATGTGCACGCAGCAGCACCGTGCGCGAGACGACAGAAAGGTCACTCGCCCGCGACCAGAACTCTGCGCCCTTCCATCGGGCCCCGCGCGTTCATACCCCGGATCGCCGTCGCCCGCGCCCAATGCTTCACGGATGCATTCGTCGCGCTCGCGATGCCCATCCAGCTCGTCTCTCACGCGCTGTATCCTCTGCGCGGCTTGATCACAGGCGTCTCACATCTCATGACGCCTCGGACGGTATCTGGAGTCTGTCCGCCGCGGAACTTCGTGTATGGGCGTTCTGGTCAGTATGACCTGCCCCGAATGTCCTCCCCGCCGCCTTCCCAGCTTTAGTGACGTGATTGTTTGTGCGAATATCGCCGCGGAGCGCTACGCACTGACACTTCGCGTCATGGATACGATGATGGGTCCCCCGCCGCCGTTCACAGTCGAGGAAGTCGGTGCGGGGGCGAATCACCAGCGCATGCTCAACCCCGCGGCGATCCCGCTCTAGTTCCAAGAGCAGGTGCACGTTTCTCTTTTTCCCGCTTGTGTACAACTTGCTGACGAGCAATATGCAGAGCTTGACGGATCTGGGGCTCCCGCAGAACGGGTCAGACGGCATTTTCTTGAACGTGGGCCACACGAACGGCTGGATGGGCAACTTCCCGCCGATGCCGGAGGCGTGGTGAAACTCCGCTGGGTTTTTTCGAGCGCCTACGCACCCGCACCCCCACTGTTATACGTAGACCAAAACGCCTCGAACACGGTCTCAGCCAGGGATCGGTTTCGTATTTCTTAATGGCCCCTTCGATCCTCTCCAGAAGCAGGGGACTAATGCTCCCCGGTCGCTTCCGTTGTCGTACTGCACGCTGTAGCACTACCCGCGTTCCCCCTCTCTTCGCTGCTGCTGTTGCCCACCTTTCACAAATCCGCTCGCACAGACGGATTCCTGTCCAGTCTCCCACCGATCCTCTATCTTTGTGTTGTCTGTCGATAACCTGCCGTAAATGCATGCCTGTCGCAGCGAGAACTTGGGCTGCTCGACAGCGCTGTGGAACGGCACGTCTCAGCAAGTGGTCGATCACGCGACAAACACAGGCAGCGCACCGGCTGGTATTGCCTGGTGCTCGCCCGTCTGCGCGTTGGTTGCACCAGGAGGCGGGCTGCGGCGATTGCGCGGGGGGTGGATCTCGGCTGGGCGAGTATCTCGGGGACGGTGCTGGATCTCCCAGATGAATTCGTGGACTCTGCGTGAATGGTGGGATTGTATTGCACGTGGCGGGGGTGAGGAAGGGAGAGCACTCAGAGGCTTAGGGAGAGGACTTCGAGACGGGGCACTCGATTCGGGGACTTTGGACGGTGCAAAATCAGCCACGTTGTATTCAATACATGTTAGGACACTACAGACGCTATACATGCAGCGTTTAACGAAAACGCGCAAGGGAGAGAGAGAGAGAGAGATAACGACGGCAGTCGAAGCGCCACGGTCGCGTGCCCCCATGGTACGCGCGTCGTGCGCCATCTTCGAAAGCCACGAGTCCCATTTAGAGTGTATGATCCACGAACTCGACTCCGCGCACTCAAAACACATAGGGCGCCTATTACAACGCTCCTCGGAGCGCAAAGTCGTGTGTCCCCCCACGGCTCGTCCGCCAGCACACTCGTGCCATGCTATGGGCTATCTATGCCCGGGAAATCGAACCCGCCCTCCGCCAGGCCTTGGCTGCAGAGAGACCGGACTCAACAGGCGGCCGCGCGCCCGTACGCAATCGGACATCTACAACTAGTGAGCAAATGAATTCGCAAAGTACAGCGACCATGAATCAAGCGGCGGCTCGCGACTCGCTGTGCGCCTCCGCACCGTCGTCCTCTGCGATCCATCGCGCTCTTAACCACAGGATCACCGTACCGGAGTATGTACCTAACCTCTCCCACGAGCCAGTCAACACAGAAACATGATCTTAAAGAACTAGCAGTACGCGCCTCTCTTGTCTCTTCTACTACAGTAGGCTGTGGGGCACATGCTCGCCTGTGCGGTGTGCTTCTATCGTCGACGCGCCCGCCATAAGGTAAGATCGCATGTGGAGGCGTGGCGCCACGCGAAACATGTCCGCCCACACCCGCGAGTACGTCCGGAGCATACTTGCATCCGCAGGGCAAAACCACACTGCATAGAAAACACCGTTTTCAGTTTCCGGAATCTGTTGAGAAAGGCTGAATGAATCAAGCCTTTTCTCCACAATTTCCTCAATTGTCAAACTCTTGAAAAAAGGAGCGTTTATCGACTGGGAAAAGGCTATGATGCCTTTTTCCATGACAAAAAGGCGTCGCTCCAAGCATTTCCTGCTTATTATACAACCCTTTCTTCGCCTCGAAAACGCTGAAAAATATCATCTAGATCAGACTGTATTTCCCTCACGTGGAAATGGTAATTTCTATGTAGTGCCAGTGAGTAAGCACGTTCGCGCGCTACAAAGAAGGACATACTGCGCACTTGGCAAGTTCGGTCTGCTAAGGTTCGCCTTCACGCGTCCGGGACATGTTGCGCATATCCTAGCAATGTGAGAGTATTGTTGATGAAGATGGAGATGGGTGAGGTAGACGACGCGCCTGATCGCCGCCTAACGTGGCGGTCGATTTCGAAAGGCAAGTCCTAGTCGCGACTTGCCATTAGCGTGCCCCGTAGGCGGGTCCACCTTCCTGCCTTCTCGCCTGCGCGCCGCCTGCCATGTCCTCCGTCCTCGGTGCCCTACAGCCCCAGCAGATTAGCGGAGAAACTTGTGTGTCACTGCCGGTGTATGTACCATAGCTACCCGTAACTTGGAATCGACCCTTTAGTCAGACTTCAGGAGTTGTTCAGATTCACGCATATTGGAAGTTGGTGGCAATCCGCGCCGACTCCATGTATCTCGGAGTACAATGTGTATTTGCGATGACTAATATCGACTCTCAGGCCGTTGAACCCGGTGATTATTCATGTCAGCCCTGTGACATACGATCGCGATTGAAGCTTTCAGAATGCGGCGCGCATCCGCATTCTTGTACAAAACAACAGAACCGCGCACGCACGTGCACACACCTTCCGGTCACGTCCCAATTCGAGTAGTATGCGTCGTCCGGAGGCTCCCAGCGCTGGCCGCGACGAATCCGGGTTTCAAAATTAGCAGAGGGGATCCAATCGGTACCCGGGCCACAAAGGATTATCTTGTCCTAAACGTCACGCATCGTCTGCGGACTCATTTGTGTCTTCGCCCATCTCCAACTCTGTATAAGCCGATCCAATGTGACCGCAGCTATGTCCGCCCAATGATTTCCGGATCCGACTAGCAAGCTGTTATGCAAGCGCATGGCCACCAAGGATACCCCAGGAAAACACTACATCAGCAGTCATATCGCCACATGACGCCGATTCAAAATAACAACGTACCATTTTCCCATAGAAAATCCCACATGCATTGCACAGCGTACCCGGGCCTGCACCCGATCCCATAATTGTTAGCTTGCAAACCCATCGGACTAGTAGAGAAGTGTACATACCCATTGGTCCACGGCGCCATTGGGATGTAGACGTCGCATTGCAACCCAAGCATATCCGTCGTTCGCTCATGGACGGCGTGATCGCCTAACCACCAGCTTGATTAGATTTGCACATTGGCGACTAAACGGGCATCACGCACAGTCTCCGGGATGATATGTCTGCAAGCAGCGTCAAGTGTTTGCATCCCGTACGACCCAACTTGATACATAGCATCCATCGTTCCCGGTACTGGAGAAAAATCGTCACAGCGGCCCTGGTATGAGAGGGCACTTGCACAGTCGACGAGGATCCCATACGACACTGTTAGCTGGACATACGTGACATGCAATAGTTAGGCCTGATATCACTTATGGATGCGAAGGATGACTGGAACGCCAAACGTACCTTCGCAAAGTCGATTTTCAGAGGAGCCCCTGATTGTGCCAGGGGCGCAGGCGCGGACGTGGATTGCGGCGAAGGCTTAGCTTCCAGCTGTTCCTCCTGCGGCACATCGTACGTCTGCGGAGTATGACATGCCTGCGACGGAGGGTTGGGTTCGTATTGCGAGCAAAAAGGCGCGGAGAGTATGGGCAAGCGGGACACGCCTTTGGAGTACGGGACGTTGTCGTGCGGCGCCGCCCTTGGCGGATCGGAACCATCGAAATAAGACTGGCGTAGAGGGATGGAATGGGACGGTAGGGACTGGTGAAGGTAGTGACCGTTGGCGGCCATGTGATCGACAAGCACGTAGTGTAAGAGCGCAGGGGACGGAGTCGTGGACGTCCTCTAGAAAGAGGCTGCGGCGCTTGAATGGGCTCGTTCAGCGACTGCATCAGTATCTGACGACGAATTTCGGGTCAAGAGAAGCACGGAGGTATGCCGTCAGACCAATGTAAGCAATTGTACATCAAAGTCGGGCCTGACTACATCTTGCAGTTGCATCCAGCTTCCTGACGAATTGACGAACAGGGGGAGAGCCCTTGAGGAAAGCTGGCAGGCCAGAAAATCAGCCAATAGCCAAGTAATGGGGGACATTGCTCACCTGGATCCCGCGCTTGGGTGCACAGCAGGGCGGATCATGCGCACGTCCGAGCATGCCAACTGTCATTCGCCTCAACACCGTAGCTCGGCTGCCCTGGCTCCCATGGCCCTCCTGGCTCAAATCCAGCCCCCAGACTCCTGTCTCCCTTCGACCACCCCTCCATCATACTCTGAGTTCACTTTCATCCCTTCCCGTTCGGTGCCCGAGACGGATGGGCATGAGCCTAGGGCGAACATATATTCGTCCAACAGTTGCCTTCTTTGGTAGGAAGGTTAGAACCCACTGGCAGTCAGAGAACCCCACGCACGATCAATCTTACTGTCGACAGTAGCAGGAGGAGGATGAGGAGGAACGATTCGGTTCATTTGATATGCGTTACTTAGTACGGTCACAAACTGTAAGGCAGCATGTGCTTGGCCTACGTTTGCGGGACAGAGAGAGAGGTGAGACGGACTGCTTAGTAAGGAGCCCGATTCCTGATCGGAATGTGCTTCCCCACTCGCGACCGTCGATTGTATAGGTCTCGTGCTGTCCCGTCTCGACGTTGCTGCGGTACCCAAGTGGTGCTGTATTGAGCCTCCCGCAAGCGTGTACATGGTGCAGAGATACGCCCCTCGGTATCTCTGGCTCTCCCTCTCCCGCGTTCAGCCTACGTCTATGCCAGTTTTGGACCTTTGCACGATGTACTTGCCACCGCCCGCCGTACATCGGGCGACGCGCGATCGCGGGAGACCGGTAGGTAGCTGCTGGGATATCGTGTCAGCAAAGAAGAATACGGGACGGCGGGCTGGCGGGCTGGCGGCATACCTCGGACGAGCGAACGACTATCTTCGCTACAAGACCCCACCATCCGCAGACAGGTGATCCGAATCCTCGATTATGTCTATAAAATGAACAATGAGTACCTAGTGAGCTCGCGGAGCCTACACGCTGAGCGGGTACACGCGAAGTTGGGGCCCATTTTCGGGGGGTCCTGAGGAGATGCCGTGAGATGCTCAAACTTAGAACTAAGAGAACGAAAACTTACCGTATATCGTGTGGGCACACCCCTGCGTCTTTAGAACGGAGTGTGAGTACGGAATGCGCGAGCGGCGTTTACTCTTCGAAGTGTGCTTTGGTGAGGATCTGGCGAAAGGTATCGTTGAGCCACGGTATGCATGCGCAAGTGAAATGATCGAGTTTCAAGTACGTTTACACAAGTCGAATCGGAGAGAGAGCCGTATCGCGCCGTACTTGGCAGAGTTCGGCGCCTGGATGCTCTTCCTGGGTGCCGGTCTCTCCGTTTGTAGGTATGCGAGCCGCGCACAAGGGCTGTTGTCGTGGAGATACTGGGACGAAATACACCCTGAGTAGCTGGAGCCCGACGACGGCGTACCTTGCAGCCAAGCCAAGCCAAGCCAAGCCTGTGGATCCAGTGATGCGCCTCGAAGCGGATACAGACTATGAACACGCGCGCACGAGTGGCAAGCGTCGTTGAGCAGTTGGCGCGACGAAGCAGCTTGATTCGAGTCTCAACTTTCGGTGCGGGTGCGAGGGGGTCGCTGGACGGTTGTATTTTGCGATGCATTCTCCTGTCGCCGTTGCACTGAGGTTAAACGAGCTGCACTGTGGGCGTCGGGTTGCTGATGGAAAGGAAGGAAGATATGGGACAGGCGAGCGGGGAAGAGGTACGCACGGAGATCTTCATTTGTCAACGAACACCTAGATTTCGACAACGAGTTCGGGTATTATAGAGGTGGGATATAGGCCGCCAGCGGGGTGAACTGAAGGGAGGAAATGCATACACTATTCCCGCTTACGTCGGCGGTGCTTTCTTCGAGCTGCTAGCCGGAACCGTTGAGTAAGGGAATATACTGGATGATTTCTACCGAGCCGAAGTCGCTGACCTGTGCGGGCAAACGCGGAAGTGCTAGACTGTCCGCCGATTTGTAGGTTGCGTATAAAATCAATCTCGGGCGACGGGAAGGCGTGGTGCACGGAAGGGGGGCGGCGCGAGAAAAGTGAGTGATCGCGACGACGCCACAGCACGTAGAAAGCGCACCATATGTGGGAGAAAAGCCATCCTTCTTTTCGTCCTTGTCAACCAAACGGATAAGGACATCGCGTCGGTTCCAGGAAGACTTGCAAGCATACTGCTGGCGGAGTGAGCTAGTGCAATCGCGCGTTGTGTTAAGCGCACAGACTTGTCTTCGTCCTCTCTTCCCGCAGTTGAAACGAGATCACTTTTGGATATCGGGCGGGAATGGTTTGGTCGGAGCAGGGTGGGTATTGGTATACATGTACGAGTACCGGGATTCAGCGCGTGGTGGAACGGAGAATCAAGACGGGCGTCTATATCGAGCTACTTGATCCGTTGCCGTGCACAACGTTCAAACGTTCACGCCCAAAGTAGCGTCGGTGTACCGGTTCATGCTATAAATCACTAATAGAGGTAGTAAAAAGCAGCGCGCGTTAGAGCTTTTGCGCTTCCATAAGGCGATACATGCGTGCTATAGACGAATGCTTCTGATATACATGATTATCCCGTCCCTTTCTGTATGTGAATACGTCGTCAAACCGCACTCCAAGTGTTTCTCTGGCCGCGATTGAAGCGTACTCGTCAGAAGCCTTCCTGGCGAGTCTTAGATCGCCGACTATGGTGGTCAGAGGATGCCGACGATCCTCGGTAGAGTGCTTCGCCCAAAAGCCATTCGGTCCTAATATGCGATACTCTGCAATTAGGTGCTATCATCATGCAGGAAGACACATGTCAGTGCAGTACTTCAACGCAACTCAGAAATGTGAACATACCTGCCAATCCAACCACCTTTGCTTCATCCGAAACCACTGACCACCTTTCCCATACCGGTATATCTCCCGCCAGTAGAAGACGGGAACGGGAACTCCCAAGATAGTCAACGGCGAGGGGTGATGGAGGTCTGCGTCGTCCCAAATCCGATTCATGTGGTCGATACCCATTGTAAACGAGAGAGGGGGAGGAGGGGGTACGTCGCAATCTTGATAAGTCAGCTTTCCCGAGGCAAGCTCCACCACGTAGGTTTGGGTATCGGATCCAGCAGTGTTGCGACAACGCGGGTTTTTTCTCAGGATCTCGTGGTCTGGGAGGGCGAGAGTGGATGGTGGAGGAGCTGCAACGGCCAGTGATTTGATTTCGGGGACCAGGATGGCAGTGGCGCCGTGCGTCGGGAAGGAAATCAGTTTCTGGACCTGCGGGACTAGCTTCGCAAGGAGACCCGCGGTAACTTGCTCCAACCATTCTTCGTTTCCACGGCTGCCATGGCCATTTGAAATGACTGTATCGCTCAAGTTGCTAGAGGTAGCGGCAGCGGGACCGGTGCTGTTCCCTCCCGCAGTCGCTGGACTTTCCAGGGACAAGCTGTTTGATAATCCCCTGCTTGAAGCCGGACAGCTGTCCGCCTGTTACGATGATATTAGCATGCATTAACCGCTGCTGGGCATAATCGCTCACCCAGATCAACAACGCTGAACAATCGAAACCTCCCTGTGGCACTTGAGGGCCGGACAACACTGTAGTAACGGAGGATTTCCCGTCGAGACCACGATCGGCCGCGCCAGGATTTTTGTATGGGCCGAACATCTGGTTTCTGCGCAATGTTGACAGCTTCTGACGTTTCACGCGGCCCACGGGAGCGTCTCCAGCACTGGGACTTTCTGATGCTGTCTGTGTGGCGACGTATGCGCTTTCTCGGGGACCCTTGTGCTTTTGACGATTTGGGGGGAGGAGTCTAACCTCCGAGTATGAGTATCTCCTGCTCACTACACTGCCGATGCATAGTACACTCACAATTGCCATTTCTCACGATTGCGGCTGAAGTCCGATAGCGCCTGTATATAGCCGTCCTTGTTGCGACTTTTTGACGTTAAAGAATAGTGCTTCAAATATTCTTTGAGAGCATTGTTGTTTAGTTTCGATCTGATGAGAAGTAAGTGAACCCTGTAGGTACTAGGGTTACTTAGATGTAAGTACTCACATCGTTACCGTGATTGTATCCCACTCCCCGTCTGCATTGATGCTTGTAGGTAGTTCGATGTCGTCGGTCGACATGGGGGCGGATCAGAGGTGACGGGATATACGTTGGGCGGCGGTGGTGGGGCGTTGGGCGGGGGGCGTTGGGCGGCGGGGACTATGCCTTGGCCCTTTATAGTGCACCGATTTCAGGGTCAAGGGTGTCAAATACTGAAGAAAGACGGCACGCAATTTGTGATTTGTGATTTCACAAATCAGAATCATGTCACTCTTTTGCGAATGGGGGTCCGAGGTTTAGTGCGAAACCGTCGGACAAGGTCCAAACTTCAACAGACCCATAATTCGGGAACGGGGGTCTGCTAGACCCTGCGTCCATGTTTCCAAGTGGCGGAGCCCAAGATGGACAGTATTCGGCTGTGAACAGAGGGGTTCGCGACAGATGCAAAACCAAAAACCCAAAATCAAAGATCGAAAAATCAAAAAATCAAAAAGGAAATGAGGGCCTGAAAGACCCGAGACCCAATGGCTGTCGAGATCGCACAGTTATGCTCGTGACCGTGACAGACGGACGTGGGCCACCTCCGTACGAAGTCAGACATGTCTAGCAGGCGTTACGCGCTGACTCAGAGGTCATGCGATGGTATAACGACCCAAGTTGTCACCCAACACCCGCGTTCATTATGACAGTCCAGATCGACTCATGACTGACTCCCAGCGCGCTCTCGTATTACATCCCTACATCCTCGGTGATCCACCCGCGTCACCCGAACGTCCACAGTCTTTCCAGGACATCGTCCGCCGGCTCCTAGCAGAGCTCCAACTTGGTTCCAACATCGTCGCGTGCTCTTTGCGGATCTTTCGCCTCGCTTCTGCATCAAATAGCTGGCTGTGATAGATACTATGAGTGCACAATAAGCGCAAGAACATACACTCCGTGCCGTACGTGTGGTCCATGAGGTCCTCCATCGCGTACCTCTGCTGCGTGAACCCCTCCTTCACTTTCGCCGGCGACGGCCGCCCGAGTGGTAGGGAGCCCTGTGGCTGTACAGCTCCCACAGTGAGCTTTCCAACACATCCGCCAGCGTTGCGTTCGCCTTGTGTACGTCAAAGCTATTTGTGGTGTGCGCCCCGGGAAATAAGGTATTAGGTGCCGGCGACTAAGACACTATTTGACAGATGGAGGTTTCTCACCGCAGGCGGCCCCGGCGGCCTCGTCGGTGCACTGGTGAACCATCGCCATCAGCGTGGAGTGCTTCTGGCGTAGGTTGTAGGTGAGCCGGAAGAAGCGTGCGAGGTGTCTCAGGTGCAGCACTTCGCGGTCGAGGAAGCCATGCAGGCGCGTGTAGAAGGACGGATAGTCGCTGAGAAAGACATTAGCTTTGCTCTGAGTATGAACATCCGCTGAACAGTGCAATCGAGTAAGATACAGTCTGAGAGATATGAATGGCGGCTCACAAGCTGACTCCGATGTTGGCGTAGGGGGCGGAGTAGTTGATTGGTGGAACCTAGAGTACCGCGATATGTTTGAGTCACTCTGGGCTGCGTAGACGTGCTCTGAGATGGTGGAAAATAGATGCGATGGCGGGGCACATGCCTGGTCTAGAAAGTGACATCAAGAGGTTGGCCCGAGAGGAGTCTCCTGGACCTAGCGTTGAACTCAACCGCAAGCTCGTGTAGAGAGAGCGAAGGGTCGATGGGACATGTGGTTCGCGGTCACTGTCCAGGGCTCCCATTGCTAAGGGCTGAGACGTGCCGGCCGTATGCCGAAACCCGAAAGTAACCCTCACTTGGCGAGCGAGACGATTAGACCCCATCCTGAAGCTTGAACGTGGAATCGACCTGAAAAGTAAAGGAGTTAGCCCGCAGTGCTCTGTTCCCGACAGTTTCCCCGTCCAACCTGGTAAAAACCCGAAAACCTCGAGGAGCACCGAGTAGACGCCTAAAGCAAGCCACGTTTCCCGTTTTGGACGCGGGGTCTTTCAGAGTCCCGTTCGCGATTTGCGTTCGCTTCCGGGTGCAAATTAAATTGAAGCAGGATGGCAGGACACCAAAATGCCAATGTAGCTTCCGCGAAACCCGCCTTACAGTCGACAGCGGCGATTCCCACCCCTCCATTTCTCGAAACTTGGGTGTGGGGTCTTTCAGACCCCTCGTTTCCATTTTTGCTTTTGGCATCTCCTGTTCGCGGCCGGGGACTGTCCACCATGCCAGGACCCCGATTACAGTAGGGGAACCTACATCACAACCTCCCCAAAAGGAGCCAAATGGCCGTAAAATATGGCTTTGGGGCCGTCTGTTCGGGTGCAACCACAGGGTTAGTTTCTACACGGTTCTTGTCCAGGACGAGCAAACAGGGTTCGACTAGCCGGCGGTTTGTCCGGAAGCCTCATCAGAGCTGGTGTAAAGAAGACGAGAGGTTAATGGCCCAGCGGGTTTGCTCGGCTTTTCAAACTCCGCTGTGGCACATCACTATGCCGAGTTTCCCCCTCCGCCCCGACCGGCGCTTATGCGCGCCCCCCTCGCGAACGTCGCGCACGTCGCGCGCGACCTCGCGCGGCCACGTTTCCTCGCGCGCGCGCGCGCGCGAGCGCTTCTGTACCGATCGTATGTCGAGTTGTGCCTGTAATTAGCACGTGCGCGCATTGCATTTTGGTGGCGTGCCCAGCGACGGACCTACAAGGTCCTACTGAGTTGATCGAAGGTGTGGATACAGCTGGACAATAAATGCGAAATTTATTACATATTATCGCGCGGGAGGTACTCGTAACCGTGAGTGATAGACGGGTCATGGTGTCCCTTTTTGCGTACATTAGTCTTGGGCATCGTGTACCCAGACTCCTTGTACTCGACCTCATTTACCCATGCCTGAGTTTTACGCATACGTACCTTCGCGTTGCGCACATCAGCAAACCACCCGCTGATATTACAGGGCCCTATAGGGTCCTATAATGTTCATATTTGCCTGTAATACCGGGACAATAAGGCAGCGTATTACTTCCAGAAAGCCATTTATTACCACATTCCAGAATTCATTGTAATAAGACCCATGCCCTATAGTATCCCGCCCAATCGAGTGAACGTATAGAGGGCATGACGGGAGTTACAGGGTAAAGAGCGCACTAGTAGGAGCGAGCGCCGTTACGGCGCTCGCCTCGGGTTGCTCCGCTTGCTGCTCGCCCGCTAAAATGGCAGTATAAGAAATTCATTCCGGCTTGGGTACGTATACATGCAGTCAAGTACGGGACATGGGCAGAGCCACTTGCGACCATGTGCGACACATTGGGGGGGGATGGGGAACGGGCGCGCGATCACGCGTGAGACATCAGGATTGACCAGGCGCACCCGCGCCCACGCGCAGGACATCGAGACGTACAAGGCGCGCCCATGCCCGCGTGCGAGACATCGAGACAGAGAAGGCACGCCTGCGCTCGCGCGCGCGCGATCGGTATGAGTGAGGCATGCGGCGCGAGATGGAGCTTGAAAACCGGCGGGGCACACGAGGAGGCGGGCAGACAGCGGAGTGGCCCTAGTATCAGATATAGTAGCACAGACCCGAAACGAGAGCAGCTGTGGCATGTAGATGGTGGGCAAGGCCGGGGGACAACGGGCGAGAGCATGTTGGCAGGGAACAAGAGGGGCACAGACTAGCGAGCGGCAGCTTCCGTGGGCATGGGTTGGGCATGAGACGCGAAACTGTAGGAGGGACATTGTGAACCTGCTGTGCAAGCGATCGTGAGAGTAGACTTACCTGAGGTGAGGCATTCACCTAGTCGTCGTCGTTGGGTTGACGCCGTGCGCCGTCCTTGCTCGAACCCTCTTGAAAGTCGTCGGCAACAGGCTTGCGCATGTGGGGGTCCTCGTACTCCGAATCATCGCCTTCGAGGTCGATGAGGTCACCCGCACAGTCGCCATTCTCATCGACATTGCCGTAGACCTGCCTGTAGATAGAGTTAGTGTCTGCAGGTCAAGGGGTAGAGCATACACTCACAGCCTCCACCACTTGAGCGTGTTGTCAGCCCAGATCGGGTACATCTTGAAGACCCGCATGAGAGATCAGACGAACACGGGGCCACTCCACTTCCCATCGCCGTCTGCCCACATAGTGCACGAGCTCAGTGCGGATCGCATCTATGACCGCCATATTGTTAAAAGGTGCAGCGGAAAGGGATGAAGGACGCACGAGGACAGCGACGTAGATGATCGACTCCGGAGTTACGTCGCTGAGTTTGTACTTCCGCGCTAACGATGGCTTGCCTTTGAATGTTGCATAGAGCTCGACCTGTCGGTGTGCACTTGAACGGCCTGTGTATACGTGTTTGTAGCACTGTGGGGCAAATGGTGCATGTCAGGATAGGGAGGGCGCAAAGGAAGGTTCAACAGACCATGACTAGCAGGAGACTCCGGAGGAGCCCGGCCTTCATGTGCCCGACCTCGTACAGATCTTCATCATACAAGAATAATGGCCAATCCTTGGTGACAATGGGCAATGTCGTGTCTCCATTGACAACACGGAGACGGTATCTGTGAGAATTTGATGTCAGCACAGGTCATACTACTAGTAGAACACGTACATTTTGGGGTCCTTGTCATACAGGTCTATCTTGGATATAGGAAATAGCAGGCATGCTGTGTGTGGGTGCTTGAATCCCCGCGCGGTCTTGGCTGAGAGTTTGGCCATGACACCCTTGGGTGGGTTAGAATACTCGATCACGCTGTCTCGTAGGCGGGCTAGATCTTCGCTGCGGGTGCGCGTCGCAACTGCGTCCATCTAATATGGGTGCAAGACGTGAGAAGATCAGATGAATGCAGAATGAAATGCTCACGTATGTGAGAAGTTTTCCTACTTCGTCAGGATGCTCCTGGAAGTAATCCTCGCATTCAACGAGGGCAGGCTGCATAGCCTGCAATGTTTCCCAGGCATCTACGAGCTGACATTCTCGAGAATACCTATTAAAAGCTACTCAGTAACGGGTATGGCTCATCGGGACACGGTGCGCCGACTTACTTAACTCCCGGTTGGAGCTTGGCCATCTGCTCGGGGGAGGCAGCGATCTCGGCACCAAGCGTGAATGCCGATTCGATCGACACATGCTTGCCCAAGGCACGGCGTATCATATGTATGTCCTGGTAATAGTCTTCGTACCCTTTGTCGATCCGTTGTTGCTTCCTATATGCGGCTGTTAGTGACTGTATGCTATCATAGAGAGGGCACTTGCGTATCGGTTATGTCTAGCAGAGGCAGTAGCCTGAGCAGGAAGCACTCAACGTCATCTGGGAGTTCCTCGACAGGATGCTGACCCGGGACCTCGGCGTCTTCGTCAACAGCATCTTCGACGCGTGGACACTTCGATGGCGGTGCTACTGGCTCAGGCGAGGAAGAAGGCTCGGGAACTTCCCTGCGTTTGCCCTTCGCTGCTGCCGTGGGTGGAGGAGTAACGGGTGTCTGTGCAGGCTTGCGCGCAGGCACAGACTGGGGCGGAGGCTTGCGCGCTCCGGCTACGGCGGACTTGGCATGCGTTCGGCTAGATCCCGGTGCAGTGCTCGGGATGTTAGCGTGCGTTGCAGTACGCACATTGGGAGGGACGGAGAGCTTGGTAACCCAGCCTGCGTGCAGACCCATGATGAGAGCAGATGATGGGGAGAGAGAGAGATGCGAGAGAGCGATTTTTTTTGGCGTGCAGAGGTAAGGGAGCGATCACGTGACGAACGCAGTACCGCGCTCGCGCACAGCGCGTCACTCTCTTCCATTTTGGGCGACTGTGTCCTGCCATTCTGGGTGATCACGTCCTTCCCGTCTCTTTGCCTGCATCCTCTCTACCGCCTCCTCCACGCTCTCGCTTTCTTCAGCAGACTTATAGCCTGTGGTACTACTTCATTATGCCCAGAAATCCCTGCACGACATGCCCCAAGACTTTCAACACGGCATACGGTCTTGGCAGACATGCCAAAGCATGCGCTGGACGCATCCCTGTTATTCAGCAAAGCCTCAACAAGCGCAAGGCGGTACGAGAGGAGGCCGAGGATGACAGGAAGCGAGCACGCCTGTGGGAAGGTTATGTGCCCGAGCCAGAGGTACGCCAGGGAAAACCACACTTATAGGATAGCATATACTCATATTTTCAGATCGAAATCGCTGTTGTCGAGCCCCCAAGCCCGCCTGCACGACGCAGTGGACGCTCTGGGCGGGGAATTAAGGTGCCCTCCAAGTGGAAGGACTATCTTCCATCAAGCAAACGGGCCTTGCCCTCGCAGTTCGCAGACACCATCCCCCGCGACCCATCTCCCCCACCTCCAGCTTCCCCCGCACACTCTGCCACGCCGTCTCTGCCTGACAACGACGCTCCAGGTGCCGCCGCAGGCCCCCCAGCGGAAGAGATACACAATACACCGGCGGATGGGTTCGGTATATTCCGCAGTTACCGTTCCATTCCCCAGGTGAATCCCTGTCAAGGCACGACCTTAGATGAAGTATCCAACATAGCCGCGGATGCTCCATCGCGCGGCGAACTACCAAAGTCCATTCGCTGGCTTGACCGCTCTGAGGAGGACACGAACGAGCACCCGTGGGGCCCCTGCGACAACGAGACATCCTTCTCTCTTGCGGAGTGGTTCAACAACGCATCAAATGGCAAGTCTTTGGACGACTTCGATGCTCTCCTCAAGGTCATCAAGTCAGACTCATTCAAGCTCGAGGACGTCAAGCCGCTGACTGCCCGGGGTTTGATGAAGAAGTTGGATGACTACACAGCAACTTCGGGGATCTTCTTGGCGCGCGACAGTTGGCGCAACGCTTCAATCGACATCCCACTCCCCAAACCTGGCACAAAGTATGCATCCGAAGCCGATGCCCCACGCTTCAAGGTTCATGGTCTGCATTTCCGTAAGCTACTCGAAGTGCTGGTCGGTGAGGTCCAGGATCGCCGCTTCACAAGTAAGCGAAACTGGATCCCTTTCGAGACCTACTGGCTGCCGCCTGCCGATCCTGACGCAGCCCCTGGTACGCCACGCGTCCCGCCAATCCGCGTCTTCTCAGACACGTTCGACACCAACAAAATGAACCGGCTCGAAGCGGAGCTCAAGCGGCGCCCACGGAATCCCGACGATCCGCCAGACCTGGAGTATGGAATCCTGCCCGTCTGCATCTGGTCAGATGCGACATGCCTTGCAACCTTCGGATCAGCATCGCTATGGCCAATATATGTCTACGTTGCAAACATCAACAAGTACATCCGCGGCAAGCCGACCGAGTTCGTCGCCCAGCACTTGGCGTACCTGCCATCGGTAAGCTGTCCCCGCACCCCCTTGCCATGTGAACATGGCAAATTTAATACTTATGCTCATTCTACGATAGCTCCCCGACGCCCTACAGGACTTCTATCGGGCGCATTACAAGCAGGTGCCGTCAGCTGAAACTTTGCGCTGGTGCAAGTGCGAGCTGATGCAGCAGATCTGGCTGCAGCTCCTCGACACTGACTTCATGGAAGCCTACGAACATGGCATTGTTCTGGAGTGTGGCGACGGAGTCCTCCGTCGCTTGTTCCCGCGCTTGCTCACCTATTCCGCCGACTACCCTGAGAAGTACATAATTTACATGGCCGTCTACACAATGCTGACTTGACCTGTGCAGAGTGCTACTTACCGCCATCAAAAACCTTGGAAAATGCCCGTGTCCGCGCTGTCTCGTTACTAAGGACAAGGTATCGCAAGCCGGAACGAAACCAGACCTCGCCCGGCGTCGCATACTCAAGCGAGTCGACGATGCACCCTTGCGGACTTCCGTGCAGAAAACACGCGAGTGGCTGTTCACGAAGGGATATAAAGTCTCGAGCCAACGGCTCAAACGCGTGCTCGATAGCAAGTTGCTCACCCCGATGCAGGTACGTGCATTAGTGTGCTATATGCGCCTGCCTTTCTCTACTAACTTCTCACAGAGCGCCTTTTCCGTCCGTCTCTCTGAGGTTGATCCCAACTTCAACTTTTATCAGATGTTTGCACCCGACCTGATGCACGAGTTCGACCTCGGCGTCTGGAAAGGGATTTTCACTCATCTCATGCGGCTCCTCGAAGCACAAGGGCCGAATGCCGTGCAGGAATTTGACCGACGGCAAGTGCATTTCAAGTCTCCTGATGTTGCAGCTTATCAAAATGTAATACAGCATGCGACAAATGCCTACGTTCGGGCGAGACAAGATACGACGCTTTTGGCACAACGTCTCCCGCCAGAACAAGCTCACCGCCCGAGATTATGAAGATTTTCTCATGGTACGTCCTGATCGCCAACCATCGTGCTCCTAATCACTGAATTTCCCCCTTGCCAAGACGGCAATGCCAGCGTTCGAAGGACTACTTCCGCTCCGCGATAATGAAACAATCACCAACTTGCTGTTTGAGCTTGTCAACTGGTATTCCCTCGCGAAGCTTCGCCTTCACACGCAAGTCACAGTCGACATATTCCGCGTGGCCACCAAACACATGTACGCGGCGGTACGGCACTTCGCGCGCACGACCTGCGAGGGTCACGTCATGCATGAGCTTGCGAAGGAGGCGGATGTGCGTGCTCGTCGACAGGGTGCACGGCCTGGGAAAAAGGCTGGCAGTACCCAACCTTGCATCGTCAAGTTTGGCACCTGGAAGACCTACAAGTATCACGTTCTCGGGGACTGCCCCGACTATGTAGAGTCTGCCGGGCCCCTCGAGACCACATCGACGAAAATGGTTCGCTCTCTACGTTGTTCGACAATGTGTCACTAACCTGGGTGTTTAGGGAGAACTCGAACACCACCACACAAAGCGGGTGTATGCGCGCACCAACAAGCACGGTTTTGCCGTCCAAATCGCGAAGCACCAGCGCCGCCAAGCCGTGCTACGACGCATACGCGAGCGAGTCACAGCCGCAGCAAATGCCGCAGACGCAGCGACAACCGGCTCGACATCTTCCAAACGCGCATGGCAAAGCCTTTCCAAGAGACGCCGCGCTGCACGCCGTCCCAAAGAAGACCTCACGGTCTGTGGCGAAACCGATTTCAAGAGGGCGAGCGACCCTGCTGCTCGCTATGAAATGGGTGAATCCAACGGCGAGCGGATCAACTTTTACAACTGGGCCGCAAAGAACGACAACGACCCAGCTTTGCAGGCATGTAGATGATCCCTAAGACTATGCTTATACTAATCTCCATGTCCAGGACTACATACCCCAACTGCACGCACACCTATTACGGCGCATTTTCGAAGACCCCACCCTTCCCTTCTCCCTCAAGCTGCTCGCGAACCTCACTGTCAATGGCGATGTTCTCTATCAACATCGCGTCATTCAGTTCAACTACACCACCTACGACATGCGGCACGACCAGGACTCTGTCAACCCGCGCACACATGCGGACGTCATGCTGCTTGCGCGCGATTGCGCGGAAGGGGCCCATCCGTACTGGTACGCACAGGTCATTGGAATCCTGCATCTGTACGTACGCTACACGGGGCCTGGAGTTCACTCGCGATGGAAGACATGGCAGCGTCTCGAGATGCCCTGGGTGCACTGGTACGAGTTCGACACTACCTACGCGTCCGGATTTCAAGCACGTCGTATCCCACGCCTACACTTCGTGGATGCACACAACAAGGACGCCGTTGCCTTCGACTTCGTTGATCCTGCGGACGTCCTCCGCGGCGCCTACATCATCCCCTCATTTGACGGCGGCCTCACGACCGAGAGCCTCAATTATGCCGGGTCGGTTGGGCGTCACGAAAGCCATCCGGACGAAGATTACCGGTATTACTTTGTCGGCATGTAAGTCAATACGGTCTCGCGCTATGATTTGTGCTCGTGTTGACGCTCTACTATTCACAGCCATGTTGATCGTGATATGTACATGCGCTACCTGGGCGACGGAGTCGGCCACCGCAGCATCGGCGTGATGGTCAAGGAGTCCCTCGGCGCATCTGCGCGTGTCAGGCAAAAGCGCGCGCCCCGCTGCAACGCAGAGTCCGCAGCAGGCAGCGATTTGGACGCCGAAGGCCCTCAGGCCGAGCTCCCTTCGGGCTCCTCCTCCGACAGTGGCGATGACAACCTGCCCTGGAGGGCGGAAGACGGCGCGCGCGAAGGAGACGATGACGACGCGGCCGAGGCGGACCCGGCGAGTGCGCAGCCATCAGATGCCGAGGACGCGATGGACGTGCGGTCTGGCGGCGCGAATTCGGCGGCTGGTAGCGACGCGGAGGGCGGGGACGGGTCAGAGGAAGACGAGGAAGAGGATGTGGCAGACGAGGACGGTTGGATGTTCGATGCCGGTGCGGGCTCGGATGGGTATGATTCTACTGGACCCGCGGGAAGCAATGAAGACGGCGAGTACGGGGATGAGGACGAGGACTCCGATTCTGACCTAGAGTACGAGTACAGCAGGTCATAATAACTTTGCAGCACGGCGCTCGTGTGTCATCATGGTGTGTTTGTCTGGGGCTGCTGTGCTTGATGTCCCACTGATTCTTTTCTCGAGCGGCTGATATTATATGGAATTGTAGTGCCATAGCAGCTGACTGTAATGTTTCGGCCAACAAGGCAGGCCATTGTCGCCTCCCACCCCATATAGCAGACTATTACAGGCGCTTATATTAACCGCCCGATATGACTAAGTATTACAGGGAGTTACAACGTTTGCCAACCACTATAATGCAGTTGGTGTTCTGCTGATGCACGGTTTGTAAATTGACATTCTTGCAAAGTGATCGGAGGAGATGGCGCACGCGGTCTAGGAACGTGGTGACGTCGTCGAGGCTGATCGCCTCCATGTCCGGCATATCTCGCTTGTCAAGTTTGCAGACCCAGCGGATCGTTCCGCGCACTTCCTCCATGGCTCTGCGGAAGAACCGGTTGTCCAGATTGTTGGCCTGCTCATGAAGAATGGTGACTCCCTTTGTGAGGGAGTCCTCGAGCACATCGAGCTCGATGTCTTCTTCGTCATCAAGCTGAAAATATAATTAGTTCATAGGCCTAAGTTGAGTGTAACCGGCTTACATCAAAGCCGGCGCCACCTCCTGACTGCGAGCGCAGCATTCCATCCCGGCCAGTCGGCGGGGCCTTGTCCGGAGAAGAGGTGATCTGGGCACACTGTTAGCGAGTGATCACAACATAGTAAGCATGTACAGTAGCACACCGGAGAGAACGCTCGCCGGAAGCCCTCAGCCTCGGGGATATCTACATCGGAATCTTCAGGATCTTGAATCTCGATCTGGCGAGGATGTGCAACGATTGCCGAGCGCTTTTGTCGCATACGGCTGGTCCACTCGTGGTTTTGCATCGTTTCCGGAGCAGCAGGCATGATGCCGTCGACAGGGATGGTGTAGAAAGGAGGGATATGATAGCGTGTGACGGTAGGCCACCAGTCGGCGTGAGGGTGGCCAGCAGCATGCACCAGATGCTTGCAGAGCAGGTGCGTGTGATACTTCTGTGACCCGCAGTCGCATGTCCATTTGCGGACATCTGTCGAGTACTCGCCATGGATGGGAACCTTCTCGAGGCGCTCCCACGCCCGTTTGAAGCTCTCCTGGGTGTGAGACAAGCTGGCTGCCCGTGCCGCCTGTGTGTTCTCCAAAATCTCGCCAAGTGTGAGACGGTAGCATGTCAGCGCTAGGGAATGGCACGGGTCAACCCCCGGGTGCGGTCAACTCAACCCGCACCCGTACCCGCCAAGTACCCGCACCCGCGCACCCACGGGTGCGGGTATAGACGCCGGGTACCACGGGTACCACGGGTTCGGTACCCGTGACGGGTCACAGCAAGGTTTGAGCACAGGTCGTCCTGCATGCGCACTATCGAGCACTCTACGTACATCTATACACCACCTAGCCCACTAGTACATGCTTTAAACCCTTGCAATATCATTCTACACGCCCCCGGTACCATACAGGACCACCTGTACCCTAAGTCTCCAAATCTGCGTCCTCGGAATCCGACTCGCCATCCCAGGGATCAAACATCCCGAACAGATTGACACCGGGAGGATAGACATCCTAGGAACCCATTAGGTCAGTCACCGGTCTCCGATTGCACCTAAAAAAATCGCTGAAATAGCGTGCTTACAGGTATGCGGAAGCGCGCCCACTCGGCAAGGTTTTGTATGAGGTCCTCCCCAGGTGTCTGGAGGTAGCGTCCCATCGCGATTGACGTGCGCAAGCAGTCGCGCATCTCGTCCCACGCCCTGCAGTAGTCCGCATCGAGGGGCTTCTGGGCGAACCAGCGGTGCACGTAGGAAACGGTCATGACCGCGTCGCGCTGGTCTGCCGTGAGCGGCACCTCCTCAAACCGACTGATCGCGTCGTGAGCGGCCGCATACCACGCGTGGGGACTTAGGGCACGAGCCCGCGCGATAGTGGATGGGAAGGCCATCTGTGGGAGGGATGACCGAGCAAATAGTGAGTTCCACCCGCCCTCTCGCTGCTCACTAACAGATCTGTACATACCTTGATGCGCGGTATAGCCCTCCCCGCAACAGTACCCTCAATCATGAGGTACACATGCATCGCGTCGGGGGCAATGTCCAAGCTCGCCTCTTCGCAGTCAAGCTGGAGCTCGGCTCGCCCATCTCCGCCCATCGCCTCCTCCCCCTCCGATGTAGCGGTCGCATCGGCCGGCGCACCATCGTCATTTGCGCCATTCAATGGCCCGGTGCTGGCGGAGGTGTCGGTTGTGTTGCCAGAGGTCGGCGACGGCGGCAGGGCAAGCAGATCCTGCTGATCGAGGATCGGGCTCGCTGTCGAGGTGTCGCGTGCGGGGCGAGGTGCAGAGGCAGAAGACTGCGAAGTCATGGACATAGCGCGATGAGGAAAGACGAGGAGAGGTAGGGGGATGTAGGCGTGAGTGTTAGAGCTACAACGGCGACACTGTCCGCCATCGCGAGGGGTACGCCTTATCGCTGCTCGCGATTTTGATCACTAACCCATTTCGATACCCCCAGTAGATATCAAGCCTCATACGACGCAGAAGGGCCATCGGGGTACGTTTAGGACTACAATTCCACCCTGAATAAATATATTTAACTACTCGCAAGGTGTGCGCGGAAGTCCGTGTAGTGCACAGAAGCCGCGCGACGGTTGGGGCATGCACTGGGGCGCCGCATGTACGAGCAGCGCGTGAAGGTCCGCGAGAATGCGCGCATAGGGCCACGCACGAAGGGCCGTGCACGAAAGTGCACGAAGGGCCGCGCACGAAGGGCCGCGCACGAAGGGGCACGCACGAACGCGCGAACAAGCAGCGCGCGAACAGGAAGTGCGAGGTAGGAGGGGCAGGGGTTCGCGTTGGAGTGCGAGGAAGCAGGGGCGAGGTTCGCGTCGCAAGAGCAGCGCGCGAACGGGCGGTGCGAGCAAGGAGGCGCCATATTCATGTACATACCAGACGCGAGAAAATCAGAACATTGTACAGTACTACTTGAGCGAAGACAGATCAATCTTGTCCCAGCCCTCTTCCATCTCGAAGTCGGAGTCATCACCCTCTACATCATCCAACTGACCGGCCTTGCGCGCGTCCGACTGGTGAATGAAACCGGCGAGACTCCAGTTGCCTACGCACATCAGTGCGCGCGTGCTTTGAGGGCTGAGTCGGTTGCGGGTGTGCGGTAGAGCAAGGCGACCGCGGCTGAACGTTCGCTCGGGATCGACGGACGTAGCTATGGATGAAGTCAGTGAAGTTCTAGGCGTTGCAGCGGCTGGATCGGACACCGGACATACCTGGGATACTGAGGTAGTCCAGGGCCATTCGCGAGAGGTTGGGGAAGGACGCGCGTCGATCATTCCACCACTCGAGCGCGTCCTTCACACGTTCGGGGTCTGTACTTAGATACCTAGTGAGCTCATCGCTGACTTCATCGTCCGCGATGTCTTCATGCTCTAGAGCCTCGAAAATGTTCATATCCGGCTGCGAATGGGGTCCTGTGTTAGAGATAAATTGTATACGGGCATGCCAGCGACATACCTTCTCATTCACGGGTGCGTCTTCGGTGCTGCTTTCGTCCGAGCCGGAGTCGTGCCTCGCGCGCGGAATACGATTGGCGTACCGTTTATCATACTCCGTCCTAATGATGTTGCGCGCGTTCGTGATCCAGTCGTGCCTCCACTTCATCTTCTTGAAGTAGGAGAGCTTGTGGCGAGGGTGGAGAACTGCAGGTAGGGATATGAGTAAGTAGACACTAAGAGCTGCGAGCACCACAGCTCCGGCGTGCAGCGCACTGGCGCGGGACAAGAGAGATCCAAGGCAGCATACCATTGCGGACGACGCGCGCATTGTGGACGACGCGCGTCGCGCGCAACGATTCATGCGCTCGCGGCAGAGCAAACGCGCAGCGAGGACGTCCGCGCGTGGACAACAAGCCGAGCAAGAGAGCGAAAGGGACTTACTCATAGCAATGCGGTACGTAGTCGAGTCGTCGGTGAAGGAATAGTACTTGTTTAACGTGCGCTGGGCCAAGCCGGCAGATATGCGGAGGGCGGAGTCGAAGGCCTGCTCGTCGTGAGATGCTGTCGTCAGATGAGCGTCGATGTGGTCCATGGCGGGGATAACAGAGGCGAGGTTGGGCGTTTGCTTAGAAAAGAAGGTCGTAGCATCCTTGAAGACCTAGGAGTACAAGTACGAGTACGGTGAGGGTGCCAACGAGGGAGAGTAGGTGCGCGTCAGTACATGCCCTTTTCAGGAAACAAGGTTCAGAGGCGACGTGGCTACGAACCTTAAGCATGTTACGCAGCTGCCTCGCAATCTCCCACTCTCTCTCCGATACCTCAAAGCTGCGCAGCCCGTTACTCTTGTCGCTACACAGCTGGGTGAGGGCTTTCTGGTGCTTCAGGCAACTGTCCAGCATGTCAAATGTCGAATTCCACCGTGTCCGGACGTCTCGAGGGATCAACACGACCGGTTGCCCCAGCTCCGCCAAGAGCTCCTTCCACGTGGGCAACAGTTTTGTCGTCGAGTGCACGATTTTGAAGGTGAGCTTTCGGAGCTGCAGGTCGCGGAACCATTAGTGAGTGTACGTGTGTATCGCGAGGAGAACTCACCTTGGCCATTGTAAGCTTCACAGGAAGGACCTCACGCTCGAACTGCGCCCGCTCCTCGTCCGTAAGCTCTGCCATCCCATCGACCTCGTCGTCAGCATCGTCTGACTCGTCTTCTTCACCGTCGCCAGCGGCCATCTCTGCCTGGGTTGTGATCTCCTCGCTCTCCATCTCCTGCACGAGCTCCAACAGCTCCCGCTCATCTCCATCGGCCGTCGCAGGGTCGCGCTTGTCGCGAACATCAAAGTGCTTGATCAGCGACTTCGCAACCAGGTTCAGCACATGCGCGAAGCAGCGCACACGGTACAGGTCGCCGGGGAAGCCTGGCAGCAAGTCCATCAACTCCTCGACCATTGTATCGTTATTTGAAGCGTTGTCGCAAGTGATCCCCATCATCTGCGAGATCGACAACGGTGAGTACTGACTGCTTGTGTCGTATGGACATTATCTCACCTTCTCTGCGATGCCAAACTCTTTCAGCACCCCGGCGAACGCACTTGCCAAGTTCACACCGCTATGCGCCCACGCAACCTCGATGAAGTCGAGGAGCAGGCACACAGGCTTGCCATCGACCACAAAGTGGACCGTTATCGCCATGAATGCCCGGTGGTTCGGCGCCGACCACTCGTCCGATGCGAAGTGAAGGTCGCCTTCATACTCCTGAGACTACGGTAAGCATGCGATCGCTCTGTGAGAACATCGCTGATAGTGCTCTCTACCTGCAGAACCTTCGCGATGCGATTGCGCGTTCGCGCGAAGACGACCTTCAAATCGCGCGATACCGTCGATGGCGATGGCACGAAGTACCCGGGGCGGCCCGTCTTCAGCAACGACAGCAGCGCGCGATCTTTGACGATCTTGAATGGACGTAGGCTCTCAGCAACCCACCGGACGAACTCCGTGCGCGCCTCGACACGGGTATGGGCGCGATGGCTGTAAGTGACCGTGCCCGTCTTGCGCTCGAACGCCTCGGTGATTGACCCATCGCGCAGGAGTGATCCAACGATCTTATCGCGGACTTCATCAACGTTCTTCGCATTCTTGGCCTCGCGCACCGCGTCATGCCCCCAGCAGCGCTTCGCGTGGCGTTGCAAGTTGCTGGTGGACGCCTGGTCCTTCTTGTCGAGGAATCGGTTCACCGAGACGTCACAGCCGCGCGCCGCGCACCTGAAGGTTAGCGCACGGCGAGCTGTCGGGCCGACATATTCGATGGTGGGCTCATGATAGAACGCGTACATCGGTGAGTTCCACCTTTTCTTCAGCCGCTCTGTGACGAGCTCGTCAGTGGCATGCACCGACCATCATACTGACATCTACTCACCCAAAAGCGCCTCATCGTCCTCATCAGCGGCCTCTACCAGTATGTCGGCGTCAATGCCGGCATCGTTCGCGTCCTCGTCGTCCCCGCTTCCCTCAGAACTCGAGTTGTCGTCCACATGTATCGCTTTGTCACTAGTTGTACTGCGCGCACTTTTTTTGCTGGATGTATCGGCGGGCTTGCGCGCGCCGCGCGACTGTTGCGAGGTGCTGGTGCTTGTCGAAGCGGACGCGGCCTTCGCGGGTGCTGCTTTGTTTTTTTTCGCAGGCGGCGGCGGCGGGCTAGTACTTTTGCGCGCCCGCGATCGCTTGCTGGTGCTTGCCTTGGTCATGTAGTCACAAGTGCAGATGTTCGGGGATGTAGGCGGGTAGCTCACGAGCGAATAGAGCGGGAAATAAATTTAGATTGCCTGTCATTTAGACTCAGAGCGGGAGGCCCAAGAGAAACTGTGCAGCACTACCGTATCCGGCAATGATGTGGCTGAGAATTGTATGTCCGAAGCCCCAGCCTCCGCCCGCCCGTGGATGTGCTATGCCTTCCATATTTGGTAGCCGGGTGGCGGGTACGGCGCGGGTGCCCATATGTGGACCCGCACCCGTACCCGGGCGCCTAACCCGTGAAAACCCGTGAAAACCCGCCCACCCTTGCCATTCCCTAGTCCCACCCCACGTCAGGTAATCCGCGGGCTCCGCCGCACCGTCGGGCTCCGTCATGCGCAAGTCCCTCATCCTCTCCCGCGCTTCCTCCAGGGGGAGGACCCGCTTCGAGGACTTCGCGCGCTTCGGGACGGCAGTAGAGGACATGTCGAGCAGCAGAGAGGAGAGAGGGAGAGAGAGAGGCGAGTCGCCACCGACGCGCCACGTCGCCCCTTTATGCGAAGGCAGGCGGTAGGGTCGCGCGCGACGGTAATCACAACGCCGCTCGCGCGCGGCGACCGCGGGCGCACCTTACCACTACTGGCAGGAGACGCCTCGCGCGAACGGCGCGCGACGGCGCCTAGTAGCGGGAAGCGCGCGACCATCAGCTTCTCCCGCGGCGGCGTACCACCGGGCCCTGGCCGAAGCAACGGGCCGCGCGACGCCGCCCTTGGCTACCCCGCGGACGTTCCCGCATGTCACCCCGAGCGGGCGAGAGGACCGCCGCCGCCCCTGGACATCGCGGCACCAGGCCAATTAGGATCCGCGAGCGTTCCACACGCCGGCGG